CCCGGGCCCATGGCTCTGCATATGAGTATATAAGTTCTTTGGTTTATCTCTTCTTGTCCCCCCAGCCCCACATCGAGGTATGTTCATCTGTTTCATGCCTCCCTGCTTCGGGTCTTATTTTGATACTATCTTTATATATCTTTTTTTAAACCCTATTTGTTAATATCCCTAGACTTTAGCAGAAAGTCTATAATAATTGGGAAGCTAAAAAATTCACAGAGGTAGGTAGTAAGTTTTTCGAAAGTCTTACTTTGATCTAAAAGCTTGAATTCCATCACTGGCAATAAACACTGCCAGTTGGTTTTCTTGAAGTCAAGTATTCACTTCTTTAATGTTCAAGAAAATTTCTGCCAAATAACCAAGTCTGATACCCACACTTGTCATCTTTTCCAGTAAAAATGGTGTTCAGTTGTAAGAGTAAGTAATTATTATCCACTTCTCACAACCCACTTGGGCGGTTAGGGTTAGGGTTCATCAGTGGCAGTGGGGGTTAGGGTTAGGGCTAGGGTTAGCGTTAGGGTTCGGCAGTGGCAGTAGAGGTTAGGGTTAGTCAGTGGCAGTGGGGTGTTAGGGTTAGGGCTAGTCAGTGGCAGTGGGGGGTTAGGGTTAGGGTTTGTCAGTGGCAGTGGGTTAGGGTTCGTCAGTGGCAGAGGGGAATTAGGGTTGGGCAGTGGCAGTGGGGTGTGGTTAGGGTTAGGGTTATTAATGGCAGTGGGGGGGTGTAACGTGGTGTGCGCTGTGACCCAGTGGTGCTCCTACTCCTGTGAGGCAGGTGAATCATTCCTATGGTCTCGTTACTGAGGAAGCGCCATTGTCAGGGCTGAGGGGCTGGCTCGGTCACCACCCGGTCAGCCGTGACTCTAGGCTCCCACCGAGCCCTCCATCCTCAAACGAGGGTCCCGTACCTCCTCAGCAGTGGGACTCGTACACCCGGGACACAGGCACCCGGGACACTGTCACCCGGGACACAGGCACCCAGGACACAGGCACCCGGGACACAGGCACCTGGAACACTGTCACCCGGGACACAGGTACCTGGAACACAGGCACCTGGAACACTGTCACCCGGGACACAGGCACCGGGAACACAGGCACCCGGGACACAGGCACCTGGAACACTGTCACCCGGGACACAGGCACCCGGGACACATGCACCCGGGACACAGGTACCTGGAACACAGGCACCCGGGACACAGGCACCCGGGACTCATACACTTGGGACACAGGTACCCGGGACACAGGCACCCGGGACACAGGCACCTGGGACTCATACACCCGGGACACAGGCACCCGGGGACTCATACACCCGGGACACAGGCACCTGGAACACTGTCACCCGGGACACAGGCCCTGGTCCAGCCCAACCCGTGGGAAGAGCATTTTTCTGGCATTGCTGACACTTTCAGGTGACAGATTGAGGGAAGAGCCACTCATTCTGTAGAAAGGGCCAGAAAAGAGGTGCTATTTGAGCTGAGTCGAGGAATTCGTTTTGTTTGTTAACTGGAAGATTTTAAATGCTCCCACTTTTCTCCCTCCTCAGGCTGCAGAAAAGAATTCAAGAACTTGGAAGTAGGCTGTAGGTCTCATGACCCAGAATCACATCCACAAATAAAAAACCCTGTAATGAAAAGGTAAGGAGGGACAGTTGGGAATATTAATGTCTTTTTCGTAAGTGGGTGTATTAGAGGAACGCTTCACTTACAGACAGGCACAGTGCCCGTTACTACCCGCAGCCGTGGCCTGCGGCATGCTGATGCCCATCTTATTGGGGGGGCAGTTAGAAGGATGTAGACCTAAGGAGAGAGGGCCATGGGCACAACACAATTGCTTCAGTCCTCGTAGATCCTTACAAAATAGATGGTATTTTGCAAAAGAGAAAATTTGGGACTTAGATGAAGCAATTTGTCCAAAGTAGTGGAGCTGAGACCTGACCATAGCTCTTATCTACCTAGCAAAGTCTCAGCTCTCCATCATTCTGTAATGCCCATGATAAAAATGACCAGGTGAGCAAAACTGTTTGCAATGTGCTACCTTTTGTCTTCACCTTAGAGGTTAATCACTACCTAAATAGACGTAATCTTGGTTAACCAGATTATTTTAAACTAGAGGCCCGGTGCACAAAAATTTGTGCACTCGGGGGGGAAGGGGGGGTCCCTCAGCCCGGCCTGTGCCCTCTCGCAGTCTGGGACCCCTCGGGAGATAACGCCCTGCTGGCTTAGGCCTGCTCCCGGGTGGCAGAGGGCAGGCCCAATCCCTAGATCAGCCATGGGCAAACTACAGCCCGCGGGCCGGATCCGGCCCGTTCGGCTGTTCTATATTGAAATAAAAAAAAGACCGTACCCTTTTATGTAATGATGTTTACTTTGAATTTATATTAGTTCACACAAACACTCCATCCATGCTTTTGTTCCGGCCCTCCGGTCCAGTTTAAGAACCCATTGTCGCCCTTGAGTCAAAAAGTTTGCCCACCCCTGTCCTAGAGTCTTGACCCTTTGTATTTACTTATAACTTTTAGAATCAGTTTCTCAATTTGCGTAAAAACACCAAATGGGAATTCAACTGGAATTGGCTAAATCCAGCCGTCAGTTCGCAGAGAATTGACCTTACTGCAGTATGGAGTCCTCCAACCCATGACCATGATTTATCCCTCCACTTATTTAGGTGTTTAAAAATTTTTGTCAATGACACTTTAGAGGTTTTTATGTACCAGTCTTACATCTTTTTCTAGATTTATTCCCAGGTATTTGATTTTTAAAAAAACATTGCAAGCAGGCATTTTTGTTGTCTAAATGTTTGCTGGCATATAAAAATACATTTATTGATTTTATATTTATCTTGATGGACTGGGTTGTGAAAGCTTGTTTTTTTTTTTTCCTAAGAAGGTAGGCTGCAATATACCCGGTGTGCTCTCTGAGCCTCCCAGATGCACTGCATGTGGGACTCGAGGCTGCCTCCTTGCACAACCCCAGATGGCAGCATTCACACCGTAGTCAAGGATGGCAACGTTTACACAGAGTAGCATGTGACTGCTGCTCCATACATTGTGCAACCTTGCCTGCCCAGTTAGAAGTGTGCGGAAGGTGCCAGACATTGATTGCATTACCCTTCTCTGGGTGGGAAAATGCCTGTCTTTAATGGCTAGTCTATTTCTCACTAAAAGGAAAGACTTTTTCCTCCTCCAGCTTGCTGAGGGTTTTTTTGAGAAAGGAAACAGCATCACCACACGAGGGAGCTCCTCCCTCCTCTAGACTCACTCCTTATATTAAATTATAGCCAATTCCACTTCTCTTACCTCTGGATCCAAGGTTAACAAACTTGGTTCTCCACTTAGAAGGGAAGAATGGGAGGCCAATATTATGAAGGATGAGGAAGTGGGGAGTGATCTGGATCGGGCTGCGCCACACAGCTGTACAGTTGGTGCACTGCACAACGGCTTTTGGCTGTAGCATGAGTTTGCAGAAGAGGGCTGAGATCCAATTCTCTGATCAGGCTGTGTGCCCTAGTGTAGTGCTGCATCCATCCACAGGGGGCGCTCTCTTCTAGTTCACCTGTCCAGTGGTGCCCCTTTGCCCACGTTACACAAAGGCACCTTACAGGCCAGTGGATGCCGTGGTCTAGGCCATCCCTAAGTTGACCATCAGTATTTATCAGCTGCTCCTGGCACCGATTAGCGGTGCTGCCAGGGTGCCAACAAAATGTTTCTGGAGAACTCCATGCCCTCTTCCACCTCTTGGCTGGCAGTTAATTTGCATATCGCCCTGATTAGCCAATGGGAAGGGTAGCGGTCGTACGCTAATTACCATGTTTCTCTTTTATTAGATAGGAGGATTAGTCTCCTATCCTTATGTGTCAAGATTAAAGTACCTCCATTACTGTAAACTCTGCAATGTTGGTTGGGAAGTGTCTTAGGGGATTAAAGAGTTTGCTGGGAATATCTTCCTTAAGTCTGAAATACACAGCTTTTGAAATCACACTTCTAACGCTTAGAAACTTGGCCGGTGTTTCTGGTAAGCACTCCCGTCTGGTTGAGAGTCAGAGTGTAAGACATTAATGCTTCAGATCCCTTCCGTTTCTGTTATGTCACAAAAGTCGCTGAACGTGCTGCTGTGAGGGGAGGTGACCGGACAGTCCCCCCTGCGCCACCTGCTCGCATGTGGGGCTGCAGCTTCGCTTTGCTTTTCTACTCCAGGTCCCGTGGACGCGACCCCAGCGGGAAGCTGCTCCCTGCGTCGGAGCCACACGTCCTCCGGGGCCTCCCAGCTGGTGAGCTCACCCTGTCAGGGGAGCAGAAGCCTGAACACGCCAGCGAGTGCCAGTTTCCCGCGCGGCCAGATGGAAGCAGCTCGGAGGGGGCAGGTGCACTCTCTCACACCGATCCTAGTCCTGCTTCTAGAATGAGAACGAACAGCGATGACTTTGCACCAGCCTCGGTGCCCGGGAGAGCTGCGGGGCTCCCGACCGGCGCTGCCCCCCCAGGGGGCGCGGGGCTCCGTCCCCTCGCAGAGCCGACGGTGGTCAGGTGCCAAAACTCATTTGCCAGAATCCACCACCCCCTTTGCCACCAAAAAGGTATGTTGTGACCCGTGCGCCACAGCCAGGGAAAAACGGTCCTGCACCCTCGGCCAGGCTCCCAGAGGCGCCCAGCGCTCGCTCTGCTGGTCCTCCGCTGCTCAGCACGGGGACAGCAGAACCGGGCTCCACAGTGAGCGCCCCTTCCCGGGACGAAAGGCTCAAGCAGACGGTCCACGCAAGAGAGCGCGTGGGCGCCGCCCGGAACCCCCTGGCCAGCTCAGCCAGCGGTGCCCAGGCGGGCCTGAGGGCAGGTGTCGCTGCCTCGTGCCAACCAGCAGACTGGAGTCCGGCCTGTCCCAGGGAGACCATCTGCCTCACCACCTACTTCTCCGTGGACAGCTGCATGACCGACACGTACAGGCTCAAGTACCACCAGAGGCCCAAGCTCTGCCTCCCTGAGCGCTCCAGCTGCGGGAGCGAGAACCCGGCCCCTCCGGGTGCAGGAGGCCTGAGACCTGCACTGCCGGACAGCCTCGGGGCAAGCTGCCCTCCTGAGCAAAGACACAAACCCAGTGTCCACTGTGATAGATGAACCAGGACCCCGCAGCTCACGCTCAGAGGCCATCACAGCAGGAGGGAGATCGACAACCGAACCTAGTGAGCAATGAAATGAAAACCGTGGTGTTTGTCATTCGTCACTTTAGCTTTCTCTGTGTACTTTTACCTCGAGACAATCAACTTACTGGATATTTTAGAAATCCTGTTGAGTAGTCTTGGCTTGCCTCGAAAAATAGGGGCGTGCAGAAAGTCACTTATTGTATGCTGCGGTTGAATAAAAATGGAGTCTGTCCCTTTGTTTTGTGGTTGGTAGAACCCCGAGTGTGAGAGTACCCAGAACTCGTGTGTGGAGATGGCTACCCTGTGATGGCTACCCTGTGCTAACTGAAACGTGCCAGGGGATGTGTAGTGGTAGGCAAAGCCGGCTGGGCTTTCTGAACAGGCACTTTCTCGTGGGGCCAAAGGACACTTGGCCAGCCCGTGGGTTCCAACTTCTTAGACAATACCAACCCGTGAAATTGATAGCATTTGGGGGAAAAGCCTTAATGATAAAGACATTTTTAAAATATATATATTTTTTATTGATTTCAGAGAGGAAGAGAGAGGTAAATAGAAATACAAACATCATGATGAGAGAGAATCATTGATCAGCTGCCTCCTGCACGCCCCACACTGGGGATCGAGCCCGCAACCCAGGCCTGTGCCCTGACTGGGAATCGAACCATGACCTCCTGGTTCATAGGTCGGCACTCAACCACTGAGCTACACTGCTGGGCAATAAAGAAAATTATAAATTCAATACTCAAGGTCAAAACAGGAGAAACTTATTTTGCTCCTAGAACTTTCATATTCAGAATGCCTAGTTAACATCAGTTTGGCCTTTGACTGTTGTATCAATAAACAATACTTCAGCCAGGTAAGCTAAAAATAATAAAATACTTAGCTTTAGTATATTTATTTATCTTGTTACTTTTTTAAACGTTTGTATGAAATGTGAACGGCCTTTATTTTGGTTTGGTTACTGTGGGCTGCTAGTGACCAGTGTTGGAAAGTGACCTGGTGCCTCCTAGGAACCTCAGTGGCCGCCTGGCTTCTCCCTGCTGTCATCTCTTCTGTCTGTAGGTTGGCAACCCATTTTGTTGATTTTCTGATTCTTGTATCTGAAAATCCTTCCGGGTTTCCAGATAAAATTGTTGCCTTTGATTTAGAGGGTTTAATTTGAATGAAATGTCGTTTTACCCTAACTACACTCATGGAGAGGGCTCTATTTTTAAATAAAATAAAGGAATCTCCCATTATTACTGAACTCACAAGTGTGTGAGTTACTTTGTCTTATGACTTTATTAGTTGTCATTCTGTACTAACAGGAACCTAATTGTGGCTCAACTGAGTTTCATATTGTCCACTCCCGAGAATGAAGAACGACACACTGAAAGCTTTTCTTGCCTTTGCCAATGGGTAAAGTTTATAGGTAGAACTTGATCATTTATAAACTGATTACTAAATTTAATACTTTGACCAATTCCATAAATTAAAATATTCCAAAATGTAAATAATTAAAAATACTTCTAGACAAATAGAAAGTAATTGCTTACAAAAATCTAACTTTACCCAGTTATCAAATCTTAGAGTTGTCTTCCACCAAGGCTTTTTAATAGCCTTTTCTAACTACAATAGTGATTATTACCTTCTCTTCTTAGAAATACTTGAATATCAACTAAATTACATTTTATCTTTTAAGAAAGCGTATTTTTAACATGACTTTGAGTATGGAGCATTTGTAAATATTGTAAACTTTGAAATGTCAGTGTATATAAACATTGCTTTTATAACATTGTAACATACTAGAAAATGGGCTTCATGTATTTTTAATAGCTTTCAAAAACCTTTTGTGTAGGTTTTTATTCTACTGGTCAAGGTGTTCAGTTGAGATGTATTATTTGAAATAGCTAAACTGATTTCTGATATTTAACAGCCATCTCATAGATTTGAATTTACACTCACAGTTGAGTTCAAACAACTAGGAATGCCCCCTTGGACTCCTGTTAGAATGCTGTCCGGCCAAAACGTCCCGAATCATGTAACAGCTTGAACAGGCTGGAAATGACCGTTCGTCTTCATGTGAGCCAAATACAGTTTGAGTGCTTATTTAGTAACTAATAATCCACATCTAAAATTTTTATTTTTAGGGTGCCTATTTATTTTTATAGGTGTTTTCTGCTTATAAACTATAATTTTGAAATAATGCAACCAATTGTAATGTTCAAAATACTTGTCTTCCAAATGTTCTATTTTCATGTGAAATGAGTTTTTCCAGTTCAAATTTTTTTTTTTTTAGATAAACTGATCTTTAAGTTGATATGGTTGGACCTTTCTTTGCATTCATGAACTGGGGCTTCCCCCCCCCCCCCCCCCCCCGCGTTTTTTTTTTTTTTTTTCCAACGTGGATTATATACTTTATGTGAAATATGTCAATTTAAAGTTCAGGGGGACTTGGAATGTCACTGACCATCAAGTGTTATCACAGGAGGCTCCTGAGGGAAACTGAGCAGCCCCCACAGGAGCGGGCGGACTCGGTGAGGGGCCAGGCAGCACTCGAGGCCTGTGGACAGGGGTCTGCAGCTCACCGCTCCTCAGCTCCGCCAGGGCCGGGGAAGCAGGCATGTGCCAGGGAAATGTGGACGTGGACACTTGAGATGTCATACAATTTTTACATGTCAGGAAATAATCCATTCTCTCCCACCACTTTCTCAGCTCACGGGCCTTAGAAAGAGAGGCAGTGAGTGGGCCACTGGCCAGTTTCATGACCCTTGTCCTGGAGCATTATCCACATTGGCTGCCCTACTGACCCTCAACACCCTGTGGGCTCCGAGTGAGTCCGTGCAGTGAGGGGTGGGAACAGGCAGCACTTCACATCCTAACACTTTCAGGCTAACAGCCTTCCGCACGGCTGCTAATCAGCCAGTTCATTTAAAATGGTTGTGAAAACAGCCGTTTTACTTCCAAGCTTGTGAAACTTAGCAGATTAAAGTCATATCGCTGTTATTCTTTTGGTGTCTTTGTTCTTGCCATAGCAAGTGTGCCAACGTCCTTGGTGTCCCATTTACCAGGGTGGAGGCTTAGAAGCCGTCAGCGTGGGCACGTGAGCCATCACTGCTTGAGGCCGCAGCTCAGTGGTAGTGCCATTTCTTACTCAGCACCTGGAAGACAGGTTCCGCCTCACCTGCTACCACTTCCGGGGTGCCATCACAGCCAGGCCCAGCTCTGAGCCTCCGTGTCACCCGTGCAGAAATGCTCAGAATGTGCCATCGCTGTGTGTGGGCTGATTTAGGCTCGGAAAGGTAGTGTGCAGTGCAAGCCCGTGCGTGACTCAGCAGTGAGTAAGCTACATGAGAACCGTCATCCTGTCACAACCTCAAGCGCACATCAGACCAAGTTAGCTGCACAATAAACATTTATTGGACAAAATTACCAGCCAGTGCACATCAGACCAAGTTAGCTGCACATGCACAATAAACATTTATTGGACAAAATTACCAGCCAGCAGCACAGAAACAGTTCATACAATGTTTGGATATGGAAGGAAATCCCAGTTCTGTGTTTCTCTAGATGCTCCCACCTTTGCCCAAAAGGTTTTCTTCAGAGAGCAACGGTACCCTGGAGGCGTCATTGTCAACCTGTAGTTGACAGATAAAGCCCTCCCAAATCAGTCCCAGATTCCACTGTAACCCAAGTGCCATTCTGAAAGGCAGAGGACGCAGCGTTCACCAGATCCATGCCCTGATTTGAAAGAAGGGGCGTCTCCCCAAAATACGTAGGTGATTCACATCCATCCAATGTCCCCAATTTCGACAAGAGGCTGTTCCGAACATTGTATGTAAAGGAGTGTCTGTCCTGTACGTCTGAAGGGCGTATCGTAGCTACTGAGTGCGGCCCTGCTCCTCAGATGCCAGCTGCGCACTCCTAGGATGTAAATTCTTGTTTATTCAGAGAAAAACCAAGGTGCTGAGCCCCACGAAGGCAGTGATTTCCATTTTGTTCGCTGCTGTACCCGGCCCATACAAGTGCTCGAATATTTGTTGAGTGAATAAATATGCTGATTTTGCTGAATAGTTAAGTTACAGTAATTATAAAAACAAACATGTTTGGGCCACAACCATTCTTAATGTAACCACAATAATAAATAATAGGATTGAAACACACTGTCCTCCTTTAGGGAGTTCAGGAGCTTAAAAGGAAGAGGGGGAGCACTGGGCAGGAGGAGCTGCCCCCTAGCTTTCCACTACTGGATATTATATACTTTCTCTAAGGTCATGTCAACCTGGCAGCCAAACAGAGGCCCACTGCATCTAGAACTTAAGCTGGATTCTTACAGCCAATAACTTGTAGACCTGCACTCTCTGTGTAGCTTTTAATTCCTTTTCTAAAATTCTCCCCTTGCTTTCTAGGAATTTAATTTTAGATACTTCACCTTAATAATTCACCATATATAACATTACATCATACTAAATCCTGGTCAACCCTTGAAACGTTAAGGGAAAGTCATTGCTGTAGTTCTTAATGGGTACGCTAAACTTTTGTGTACAAATATTTTAATTCAGCTCCTGTAAAGCCATCAGCTATTTGAAGACAGTTTTTAAACATGAATCAAAGAGTCCAGTTTTAAGGACTTAGCTATGAATGGGTGAGGTCACTACTAGTCCCCCAAAGAGTAAGGAATGTGGAAAAGGAAAGCAGCTATGAATGGGTGAGGTCACTACCCATTTAATCTAGTCCCCCAAAGAGTAAGGAATGTGGAAAAGGAAAGAAGGCCCCTTAAGAGTCTGAAGTTCTTCTGTTGCACAATCCTGTCTTTGTTCAAGAAGCTGTAAGTCGTGTTCAGAATTCAGTCCAGGAGTCAACTTCTGGATGTAGATACCGGGCAATCCATCTGTAAAAACCGAGTACTCGTCAACAGCGTTTCCTTTCTCTTCCCATAGTACTTTGTGCCCACTTCTGAAACTGACTGTCTCGGGGACTTGCCTATTCCAGATGAATGACATTGAAAAGAGCAGAAAATAGCCCGAACCATTGATCAAAGGCTTCTGTTTCTATCCAGAGCTGAAAATTCAGGTCATTAAAAAAAAGAAAATGACTATAGTTGAGGTACATCTCTACCCAAAAGGGGGAGGTGCAGAAGAGAGGAAACGTCCCCTGTACAAATGGCCCCACAGAGGATCTTATAGAAACACCCAAGTCTCCCATCCGCCCACTTGCCCTTGTCCCTGCCCACCTGCCAGAGCCCAGAAACCGGAGACAGAGGGGCCTCAGCTACGAGCTTAGGCTCAAATCTTTGCCAAAACTCGGTCAACTGCCATCAAGAGCTCTCACTCGCCAGCGTGAGGACCTAGGGCTGTGAACGCACTGTGCATAGAGAACTCCGAAGTCCAGGAGCCTTGGGTCCCTTCTCCCATAGGTGGATCCCTTCCCATAAGTGGATCCTTTCTCCCATAGGTGGATCCCTTCTCCCATAGGTGGATCCTTTCTCCCATAGGTGGATCCTTTCTCCCATATAGGTGGATCCCTTCTCCCATAGGTGGATCCCCATAGGTGGATCCCTTCTCCCATAGGTGGATCCCTTCTCCCATATAGGTGGATCCCTTCTCCCATGTGGATCCCTTCTCCCATAGGTGGATCCCTTCTCCCATAGGTGGATCCCTTCTCCCATATAGGTGGATCCCTTCTCCCATAGGCGCCTCCTCCGCTCCCTTCTCCTCCGCTCCACCTGCCCCCCCGCCCCCCCTCCCCGTTTCAGCCCTGCGTCCCTCCCCTCTCCTTCCCCTTCCTTCCCTCCCGCTGCCTGGACTGTCTTCCGAGGGCGCGGCTGGGAAAATGGACTTGCAGGCGGAACCCTCCGAGCTCCGTGAACTGCCCACGGGTGTCCGGGATGGGGGTGTGTGCAGAGGGGTCCGGCGGGTCCCGGATGGAAAGCTGACATTGCCGAAAAGGCAGCTCTGGGGCCCCAGGCCC